TAGAATAGAATAGAATAGAATAGAATAGAATAGAATAGAATAGAATATGGAATGAAGAATAGAATAGAATAGAATAGAATAGAATAGAATAGAATAGAATAGAATAGAATAGAATAGAATAGAATAGAATATGGAATGTAGAATAGAATAGAATAGAATAGAATAGGAATGGAATGAGAATGGAATGGAATGGAATGGAATGGAATGGAATGGAATAGAATGGAATAGAAATAGAAATAGAAATAGAATAGAATTCTTTATTGGCCAAGTGTGATTAGACACACAAGTAATTTGTCTTTGGTGCAAATGCTCTCAGTGTACATAAAAGAAAAGAGACATTCGTCAAGAGTCAAGAATCATCAGGTGCAACACTTAGTCATAAGGTACAATAAGCAATCAAATCATGCTAGGAAACAGTCAATATAAATCCTAAGGATGCAAGCAACAAAGTTACAGCATTTTGCAGTATCCTTCCACTGGAGTTGGGGGGAGGGAATGGGGATTTTGCAGTATCCTTCCCCTGCCCTACCCACCAAGCCACGCCCACCAAGCCACGCCCACCAAGCCACGCCCATAGAACTGGTAGTAAAAAAAAAAATCAACCCCCCCCCACTGCTCTCAACCCTCGCCTGTGACTTGTCCACCTTTCCCTCCCGTCCAGCAGCGCCTGACGGAAGAGCTGCACACCATCGAGAACGGTTACCACGACAACCCCACGCTGGAAGTGATGGAGACGTTGTCCGAAATGCAGGAGAAGAAGGTGAATCTGAACGGGGAGGTGGGAGACAGCTGGATCGTGCCCATGGACAGCCTCATCAAGGACGAACTGGACGAGGAAGAAGACACCCATTTATAAGTGGGTGGGGTTTGTGTGTTTGTGTGTGTGTTGCTCTGGGTGTTTTGTTTTTTTTAACAAAAAAAAAACAGAAGAGGGTAGAGGAGGAGACGACGGGAGCATAGAAAAAGGTGGAACTTCAGGCTGGCTGAACTCTGCCCCCCCACCCCCTTCAAATTTCTACAAAGATGGAAAACTCCAATCTTCAGCCACAAGTGCCGACGCGGGAAGGATGAGTTGCGATGGCACCAGACGGAACGGCAGGCGCCTGCCAAATTTTTGTGATTTTTGTTGTTGTTGTTATTATCGACATGTTTTTTTTTTTTAAACCCATTGACTTTCTGGGCAAAGTTATATCTATGCATACTGATTTTTAAGGACAGCTCTTTAAGCATTGGCCAAGGGTCAGAGAGAGAGAGAGAGAGAGAGAGAGAGAGAGGGAGAGATGACGGTATGGAGAAATATCAGAATTTGTCCTGGACAACGGAGACCTGAACAGGAAACCTATGGGAAAGAGAAGCTTTCCTGATGCCACCCAATGTTTTGTTTTGTTTTTTTCCCTTGACGGTGTTTTAGCAAGAATTGCAAGTCTCTAGTCCTCATGGCGCCTGAACAAGCTGAGTGCAGTCAGCTTTAAATCTGAAAAGATGGAATTAGAATAGGATTTTTCAGGTAGAGAGAGAGGGTGGGAAAATAATATTTTGCTCCAGTACGGCCAGGAGGCCAAAATAAGGGTTTTAGGACCGACGTTCGTGAAAGCTCCTTTCTCTCTTTTCAAAACTGGATTTATATATATATATATATATTTCCCCCTTGGGGGCACCTTCGAAAACCTGGAAAGACAATCTCCATTCTTGATCATTGCGTGTGGCCCACGATGCTTATGCGAGCTTGTGCGTGCTTGGCTTCCAAATATGGGCTGCAAAAAAGCAAAGGTTTGTAGAAGGTATGTGTACTTCTGTGTGTTTCGGGGTGTGTATATGTGTGTGTGTGTGTGTCAAAATTGCAGCTCTCAGCCGGGAAGAGCAAAGCACTGGGACATCAGGAAAGCGAGAAGCACAGCCAGTTTTTAGAAACCAGCCTCTACATACAGAATTAAATGGGTTTGGAGATTCTCGGTCATTGCAGGTCATGGTCTTCCTTGAAGACATTTCACTTCTCATTCCAGGAAGCTTCTTCTGTTCTGGCTGAATGGTGGAGGATGGAAGGATTTACCACCCTTGCAGTCATCTGCTCATTAGTGCTCTCTGTGAGGATCATTGAGGCCACTTGGAGGTTTATCTGTGCCTTCAGGGTCACCTGAATAATGCAAATGGGTGTGGGGTCTTTTCGGAACTTCTGAAATGTCTGTGTTGTAAAAACAGGAGATGGTGGGTGTCGTATCCCTCCCCCTCTTTTGAGGGACAGCTTGTCACCCCCCTGTCAGGGTCTGAATCTGAGAAGGAAGCCAACAGCTGACAGGGAGTGGGATTGTGGCTCCGTTGACTTGGAGGAGATTGGGGAAGGGCAAAGTCTGGTTGGGCAGAGCAGGGGAGAGGTAGAGTAAGGGAGAGGGAGTTCAGAGGAAGATCCAGGCCCATCCCTTCTTCATCCTAGGGAGGGAGCAATTGAGAAGGGAGCAATGTGAGTTGCATGGCTTACGGGGGAGGAAAGGGCCCTGATTCCCTTCATTAGCCACACCTGGGAAGACAGTTGATAAGAAAGGCAGACTGCGTGGAGCAGGCTGCTGGGAATAAATGTGACTTTATCCTGTGTTGTCGTGGCTTATCTGTGTTCCTGGCATCTTCCCAACTGTGTGAGTTTTGCCGTGCCTTCAAGCCTGAAAAGCTTGCTCCTGCCCTGCCAAACTAATTACTTCAGTTTGGCTTGTTTGGACTTTAAGTTACAGTTTGTGTTGCTCATGTTTTGGACTTGATTCTCTGCAGCCAACGGCTGTTCCTGGGAGTTTGTTTTCTCCAGCCAGAAGGCTACCTGGACATTGAGGACAAAGTTGGAGATAAAAAGGGGACTCTTCTTGCTTATCTGACTGTGTTGCCTTTGTACCATGCCCCAAGTCATCACCCAGCTGTTCAGTCTTAATGTAGATGGCCTATTTAACTCGATTTGTCCAAGATAAACCTCCAAGTGGCCTCAATGACTCTCACGGCCAGATGACTGCGAGGAATATATATAAGTCCTTCCATCCTCCGCCATTCAGAAGTGAAGAAATCTCTTGGCTGAGAAGCAAAACGTCTTCAAGGAAAAACAATGCCCAATTGCCTTATGAAGGAAAAAAAAAAGCACCTTTGGGAGATCCACAGTCAAATAAAAGGAGAAGCAGAATGTATGGGCTGGGGAGAGGGAATATTAATCGATGTGCACGGCTGGGTGGGGTTGGGTTGGGTTTAATTTGCCATAAAAATTATAGCAATACTAAGTCCGTCCAGACTAAGAGAATCATCTTGAAAAAGGGTGTTAGTTGTGCCTTGATGTGGATCCCTAATTGATCCCCTAATTGATCCTTCCCCTACTTCCAGCGCTCTCCCCAAGCTGTGGGGATTACAAATTGTACAGGTCTCCAATGTGTATGTGCGTGATGTACACCTGTTCATCCTCCTTGCCTTATCCAGAGAGACACAGATATATTTCACTTAAGGGATTGATGAAGGAATGGATGAGCTGTTCACCTTCGATTAAGGTTATCTCCACATCTTTTTCCATATAGGATCCCCCTCCCCAAAATGGCTACGTAGAACCATAAGGGGCCGTGGGAGAGCCTCCAATATAGAGTTTTCCAAGTTTGGCAATTTTAAAATGTGTGGACTACAACTCCCAGAATTCCCCAGTCAGCTCCCTGCAGTCAAAACACAAGATTCTCACCATCTTCTTTAACTAGATTTATTGAAAAGGGGAAAGGGTTAAGTTGTAGAAATCTTGGCCACTGGATACCTTTGCTATAGCATCTCATTTATCTTTCTGGTGGTGTTTTCTTGATCCTCTCACTAACCATCCATGGTGCCCTGGGGAAATGGCTATTCATGGTCAAGGAAGAATTATGGGGACGTTTTCTACTTGTCATATTCAGTGTCTCTCAACCTTGGCACTTTTAAGGTATGTGGACTTCCAACTGCCAGAATTCCCCAGACACCAGGGAATTCTGGAAAATGAAGTCCACAAACCTTGCCAAGGTTGAAAAAAAAACACTGTCATGAAGTATTTGGCAACCTCTAAGATATCTTCAAAGGCTTGGAGAAACCCATAAAATATGCCAAGGTAACTGAGGCCAGCCAACTCAGGGCTTACATTTTTTTGTAACCATCAGCTTTTGCTGGTGTCCTCAAGTAACCTGGTAGTAGTTGCCTTTTGGTTGGGTTTGGTTGGGTTTTTTGCAAGCTTCCAGAAGCAGTTTGCATAACTGTCTTGAACATCTGAGTGATCCATGGCTGTCCTCCGAGGAATCGGTTGGGAACCTGGCCAGAATAGAAAGCACTACACACACACAAAAACTGAATGCTGCAAAGGAAAATTGCTGAATTCTGACTGAAAAAGCGCAGCCTCCTGAAAATGAACCCTGAATGAACACCACCCTTTAGTTACAATTAAGAATCCTGATTTTATGGGAGTAAAATTATGCCAGTAATGGAGCTATACTCCGTGGTGAGCTGCAACCAGTTTAACAAACCGGTTCTGTGAGCGCACGCAGCGTTCAATAAACACCAATTTGAATCTCTCCAGTGATCCACCCCCATTCAAATCATAAGTCTCTAGCCACATCTCTCAAGAGTTAAAAAAAATGATTTATTAGGAGTGACCATGTCGGTGTTAGGTGGGTGCAGCTGACACTAAAATACATCACTTCCCCCTGACCCTGGTCTTATCTCCACTCTCTGGATGTATATTCTCCAATGGGACACATCCATAGCCAAGAGTCATCAATCATGCTCTCCAGTAATATTCTTGCGCACTGACAGCTTTGAGGCATTTAAGGAATGCGCTGCTTTCCCCCACTCCTTTTCTGCTGGCAATTAAAAAGACCAAAGGAGTATTTTTTTAGTTGACATCCAGCTCACTTTCTAACTTTCCCCAGCTGATTGTCGTTCGTACTGGTTCGCTAGAACCAGTCCGAACCAGCAGCAGCTCACCATTGGCTATACTACGCGAGAGGTCATGTGTTTCTCGCTTCCAAGCAAACAAAATGGGTGGGAAAAATCAGTTCTGTCGATTTATTAGCAGGATTTATTGCTAGCACGGAACAATTTCAGGATACTGGCAGGAGGATTGGGCCATTTTTCCAGCCACTTTTAGACGATTTTTGCAATGTTTGCCATGACCGGTTCCCACAGGAAACCTATAACATGGCATCTTTCCGATGTTGCAAACGGTACTTGCCAAACGACAAATTAAGCCAAAGCTCAGCCTTGAATACAACTGTTCTTGTAGTGGCCACTTGAAGTTACAATGGCACTGGAAAAAAGCCTCCCCGTGGTCACGTGATCAAAATTCGGACATATATCTGGTTTATGTTTACTACGGTTGCAACATCCCGGGGTCACGCGATCCCCTTTTGCAAACGTCTGACCAGCAAAGTCCATGGGGAGGCCAGATTCATTTAACAACCGTGTTACTAATTTAACAACTGCAACTGTTCGCTTAACAACGGTGGTGAGGAAGGTCGTAGAATGGGGCAAAACTCGCTTAGCAATAGCACTTAGACTTATATACCACTTCACATTGTTTTACAGCCCACTCTAAGTGGTTTGCAGGGTCAGCATGTCGCCCCCAACAATTTGGGTCAGCAACAGAAATCTGGGGTTCAATTAACTACCCTGTTTCTCTGAAAATAGGACCCAACTGGAAAATAAGCTCTAGCATTTTTAAGGATGCTCATAAGATTAAGCCCTACCCCAAAAATAAGCCCCAGTTAAGATTGTCAGCCAGACGGGTGCATTTAGAGCAGTATTTTCCCCAAAATAAGACCTAACCAGAAAATAAGCCCTAATGCATCTTTTGGAGCAAAAATTAATATAAGATCCTGGGTCTTATTTTTGGAGAAACGCGGTGCCTCTGATTGGGGGGGGGAATGATGTTTGCATCCCCCACATGTCTTTGAGACGCTCCGGGTTGCAGTCCCTACTCTGAAGTCCATCAACACCGGCCTTTCTACTCCTGTTTGTAGAGAAGACAGGGAAGTGGGAAGACATTCGGTCTGCCAAGGAAAATAATTTGAAGGAAACTGCTGAAAGGGACGATAAAACCGGCCAAAGTCTTGTTATTAGTATAAAAACCCCAGTATCACCCCAGCCGCTGGTAAGATCTCTGAGGAGAGAGATAACAGGATGGGTGGGATCGCCGATGCTTCCTTAAAAGATGGTTTTACGGTGCCTGGAGGATGCTTTTTTTAAAAAAGACAAAGGGTTCTTTGGCACATCCTGTTAGAAGTAGGATGTATTCGAGTATTTGTACAAGCAGGGAGTCAAAATTCTGAATGATGGGCGAGAACAGTCTGTAGAGATTCTCATCCATCCAGGTCAGGATTGTCCCAAAGGTGCTTTTTTTTTCAGGACACTGGCCTGCCTTGTTTTTCCTTCTTTTGAAGACATTTTGCTTCTCATCCAAGAAGCTTCTTCAGCTCTTCCATTCCCCACCATCCTGCCAGAGCTGAAGAAGCTTCTTGGATAAGAAGTGAAACGTCTTCAAAAGAAAAGAAAAAAAAGTCCAGTTGCCTCCTTAAAAAAGCAACTTTGGGACAAACCTTAACAGTTTCAACCCATCCTCAGATCTCGACCTCACCTACTTGAAGACATGTGGACTTCAACTCCCAGAATCCCCCAGCCAGACAGCATGATTGGCTGGGGGATTCTGGGAGTTGAAATCCACCTATTCTGAAGTTGCCAAGATGGTGAAACACTGGAGGTTCATATTACTAGAACTTCATTGCCTGTCTGGTTTGCCCTCTGAGGTAGAGGAAGAAAAAAACCTAGTTTATCCAACAGACAAGCCCAAATGTTGGTTTGATGTGCGGGGGGCATTTTTGCTTGCAGTCTTGAGATTTAGAACGTGACACGCAGCCCCCCCCCCATTCGATGGTGGTTTACTCAACAAAGCGGGCCTAAGCCAACAGTGGTTTAATGTGGTATGTGACCCGAGGCGTAGGACATGGACTTTCATGACCATATCCTTCCACAGGTAGTCCTCGACTTACGGCTGGCATTGAGGCCAAAATTTCCATCGCTAAGCAAGAGAGTTCAGTGGTTTCATTCCGTGTTACGACCTTCCTTGCCACTATTGTTCAGTCACCCGGTGGTTAGATTGAATCTGGCTTCTTCCCTGTCGATTTGGCTTGTCGGAAGGTTGCAAAAAAGGGGATCAGGACACCGTGACCGTCATAAATAGGGACGCCTGTCAGCAGTCCCTTTTTTTCAGTGCCATAATGTTGAACGGTCACTGAACGAACCGTTGTAAGTCAGGGACTACCTGTACAAATTCCAGCTCAGATTAGAACCCTTCCAAGATTTTATGGAGGTGCTTCTAACGCTTCATGGGCTTCTAAAAATGTGCAGTTGGGCCGCTGGACGTTTCATTAAGCCTTAAGGAGAGATGGGAATCTCCTATGCCCAGGAGGACTGTGCCTGTTTGTGTGGGTGTGTGTGTGTTGTGTATGTTGCAGTTTACTGGGCCTCTATTTTTGTAATCCGAATGGACTGTGGCATACATTTTAGTCCCTTTTGATTGTAATAATAAAAAAATTGGGCCGTTGCACCCAACGCTGTAGTTTTTTCCCCCCCCGGCACATTTTGTGCTGAAACAGGAGTCAGGTATACACTGGAATTAAAAAAAAATATATGATTGGGTTGTAAAAAGTATGGTTACATTTTCCTACAAAGTATATTTTGATGACATTGCTTATTACTGTCAAATAAAAAAAAAGAATTCTTTTGTGGAGTGTTGGCTTCTTCTCTCGACGATATATTGCCTTACCTGTGGGGGATGAAGGTCCACATTTTCGAACTGAGCCCCGTTTTTTCTTTGCTCCAAAATTTAGTGTCCAATTCAACCTGGGGCCGGACTTACCATCCGCAGACTCAGTCCAGATGTAATTTTAGTATTAACATTGATGATGGGACATGTGTTCTAGAGGTGCTTCTGAGTTTTAAAAGGAGAACAACAGACTTTTAAAAAAATGGGAAAAAAAGAGAAAGATCTTGTCCTCTTAACAGAGTTCAGGTCCTCTCATGAAATTGACAAAATTCTGCTGCTTCTGAAAATTCAAAAAGCTCCAAGGCCTGGCTTGAGCATAGATGAATTTTAATTTTTAATTTTGATCGCAGGCAACTGCAGTGTGTTTTTTCTTTTGAAGACGTTTTTGCTTCTCATCCAAGAAGCTTCTTCAGCTCTGGATGGTGGGGGAATGGAAGGATTTACATTCCTTGCAGACCATGCTGGTCATTTGCATCTTTTTAAAGAGAGCCGTTGAGGCCGCTTGGGAGACTTTCAAGAAACACCTACCGCAAAAAATCCCAAGATCGGCATAATTTCTTTTTATTAAGAAAAAAAATGAACAAAATACATTCTTTCTCCGTATATACATTACATACAGCAAAAATTCTACATTGGGAATTGCTCTTCTTGTCCCCAGAGTCATTCTTAACATACATCTTCAACCTGGCAGAACAATCGTACGACCAAACGATGCGGGAGCCGTGAGGCGGAAAGGAAATCCGAGGAAAAAGGCCTTGCGCGCGGCGATCGCTTGGCGTGCACCAGGTGGGTGGCAAATCAAAAGGACTGGAAGGAGCTTTATGGACGAAAGAGGAGATGAAAACCCATGCCTGGGCCTAGTGGTTATCCCACAAGCACGCTTGTGTCAAATGGCCGTGCACAATTCGGTATGATTTACACCAGAGGATCTCTAAACGTGGCCTCTTGAAGACTTGTGGACTTCCAACTCCCTGGCTGGGGAATTCTAGGAGTTGGAAGTCCACAAATCTTAAAATGGGTCACATTTGGAAACTCCTGATTTTACACAATCTAGCTAAACTACATTTTAGCTCATCCTAGACGGGACCAAATGGCCTTGATTCCTTTGGTATTAAAATGCCTTTGGCTCGCCCTGCCTCTAATCTTTAGTTTTCTGCTTTGTTTTTTTTAAAAAATACAATGGTTAACATTCCCACAGCTGCTTCTACCACAAGTGATCCTTCAAATTGCTTTTCCAACCTAGCCAGAAAAAAGCACCTGGCCAGAAGAAAAAAAATGTGCTGCAGGACTAAGAATCTAGGCTTATGTCAAACATAAACCAATCAAAACCCGCTTCTAAGAGCACAGGTCAAATTTCTCTCTCTCTCTCTCACACACACACACACACACTCACACCACTTTGAAGGGCACACCTCACTCTTAAGAGAAGGCCATCAAGTTGACCAAGTCAATCTACTGAATTCCAACCCTTGCCATTTTTCCCAAAGCAACGTCCCTATCGGCAGCTTCGGACAGACTTATATTGCTTTCCTCACATCTTTTACCACATTTTCAATTTGGGGAAAAGCAAATTTGAGAAATCAGAGGGTGGATTTCCTCACTCATCCCTGGAACTTCAGGTGCCTTTCCGATTATTCTTGAGCTTCTCTAATCAAGCCCAAGGGGCTACGAGGTTTCGTTTTGACTTGAAGACCATTTCTTCGTTGAGCCAATGGAGCAAGTCAACAACGATCAATTCTGTGGGTCTTTCCCACCCCAGAACTACGCCGTAAAAAGGAGCTACAAACCTGTAGCGTTTTTAAAGAGGGAGCGCTTCAGTTTTCAACATGACACCTGTCAGTCTTCTAAGACTATCAAAATTCTGAGCCAATCTGTGAATGGCATACCTGGATGTACCGAATGGGAACTGATCAAACAGATATGACAAGAAGCTACCACCTCTGTCAAACTGTTAGATCTGCATCAAAATTTCAAGATGGCGTGGGAAATAAAGTGGGTTTCTTCATTGTCGTCTACTGTGATGTCAATGGTTGTGATGATCTTCGGATCAGGTTTCACATGTCATCTTCAGAGAATTTCTGCCAGTGGCCATACAGCATTTCTAAAGCCAGAACTTTTTTTATTATCTGCTTTCTCTTTTCTACAGAATTATATCCGAGAAGTTAGATTAAAACCCAGAAGTTGAAACACATCCTCACTCGAGGACGCCTTCCCTCCTCCTGCTCTTTTCTCAAACAAGACTTCCCAATCCGTCCTTCCTGAGATATTCCTCCTCTTTTGAAATTTGAGGGCTCCTCCTGAAGTGTGTGGTGGGTGTGGCAAGAGGAGTTGTGATAAAAAGGGGCAATGACCCCAAAAGTAAGCAAAAAGGATCCTTTTGGAGAAGGTTTGAGGTCTATTCTTTCAACCCCCTGAAGTCCGCAACCTCTCACATCTCGATATTTCTGACCATCCCAAGACTTTTAAGCTATCTAGAGAAATCTAACTGACCAGAAATGTCCAGCTGTTTGAACAGCCAAATCTCTACACTGGACCAAATTATTAAAAGAAATATCAACCGATTTCACCTTTTTCTGCTGAATGGGTGATAGGAAAGTTCCAATTATGAAGAATCTTTTGGTGCCTACAAGGCTACTTATCTGCCTTAAATTATCAGTTCATAAGTAGAAAGCACTGCCGCCATTGTGGTCTACTCAAAAAGATTTCCATAACAAATTGACCTGCTGTTATTAAACAACGGGATGTTGGGAGCTTATAGACACATCACATTTGAAAGGGTCTAGTCCAGGAGTTGGCAACCCGTGGCTCTGGAGCCACATGTGACTCTTTCACTCCTCTGCTGCATCTCCCTGTCGCCTCCACAATTGATAGGGCTTTTGGTAAGGAGAGGTAGAGGAAAAAGGACGCTGTGCTAGGAGACTCTATGGTGGGGGAACTGGACTTCCGGTTGGCAGAGGAAAAAGGACGCACTCTCTATGGTGGGGGAACTGGACTTCCGGTTGGCTCTAGAATTGAATGGGGGGGCTTCCGGTTAGGGCCTTTGTGGCTCTTTTGAGCTTTTAAGGTTACCGACTCCTGGTTTAGTCTAAAGAAAGCAGAAGTCAAGCCTTGGGCTGTTGGTGGATCCATGGTATGGGAGCCTGAGTGATACCTTCTGCATCTGAACGGCATAGGTGGAAGCAACTAATGCTTAAGGGCAAGTTATGAACTGCTGTTGCTATCTCAACGTAAAGAACGCTTGGAAGAAAATCTCAATTAAATTGTTCATTCAATTAGCATGCCCCACCACACAAGAACGCACGCTCCATGGGAAGACAGGGGTTCTCAGGTAAGGCATGCAAATTACTGGAAGAGGGGTCCATGCAATGCATTCTAAACAGCCCCCCTCAAAAAAATACCATCAGGTTGAGAGGGAAGAATGTCACACTGACTACCACAGTCTTATCTATACGCGGAAAATCTAGAGAATTTTTTCTGGTTCATATGAAAAGGACGGTAAAACTCTACTTGAAATTCAGGTGTGAATCTGGTACCTGTACCTGACAATTAAAAGTTCATTTAAAATAGGGAGGGGGGGGAAAACATCTTTAAAAAAAATTCTAGGTGCCTCAAAAAGGAAAAAAAAAAAAAAAAGAATTGTGATTTTCAAATGATGACACTTGGCTGTTGTACTAATACAGATCCTTTTAAGTCTACACTGGCCACAATTATATGGCATCATAAACCATGGGTTGATCACACAAATTCAAGAGTTGGCCGCAATGCAAATTTTGCACTGGGTTGACTCCAACCTGTGTCTCCTGTGAATGAGGGAGTCCTGCGTTTTAAAAGCAAAGCGATGTCAAACCATGGCGTCCGACACTGGCTTATGTAAACCACAAAGTCGGGTTTGAACAAAATTACAACATGAGGTTAATCAAAACCCTCTAACTGAGCTGGTGTAAGGGGAAAAGAAGGCACAGCACTAAAGCTTGAAGTTTCTTGTTATACTGCACCGACCACCAAAATCTTGGCTTACAGTGATATCGGCATCAGTTAAGATCAATTTCTGCTGGCTCACCTAATCTTGTTTTCCACAGCAAATCTGGCTTGGCTTTTGTTCTTTTGTCCCTTGGGTTCTTTTAATTTCTTAGAAGTCCTAAGAAATTATTTTGGAAGGGTTAAATCAGTTAACCTTTTTAAGCAAAGGTGGACAATGTAAGTGTCCACCAGATGATGGTGGTGGAACGATATCTCCAACCAGTACAGCCGACGGGAAGACATGCCAGTAGAAACACCTGCTAGTTCCTGATTGCTCAACAATTTTATGAGTGTCAGATGCCTTCCTTTTCTTGAAGCAACCAAGAGCAATCCCAGTGTGGTTTGC